CACATTTGGCATCGTCGTCAAGATATATGTGCATTCATAACGTTAGAAACTCTTTATCATATGAATAACAGATCACCTTTTCAAATTTAGTGTTCTAAACAAAATGTAACCAGAAATACCAAGTACAGTTTTATCCTTTCAGTTTGTTAGCTTTTAGCGCGATCCTTTCTTAGATGCCTCATATGAGGCTGACACATGATTATAATAATTAATGAAAAGGCATAGAAGGGTTTTATTTGACCTGTTTCTATAAAAAGTTTGAAATGAGACCAAGCATATTTTATATGTAATGACTAAAATGGGCAAATTTTCTTTTCTCAGGTACGTATTCGAAAGTTCCGGTCAACACTATATGTGGTAATGTGTTCTAATTTTAAAAAGTGAAAAGTTTCTTTGTTTTTCTATATATTCTGTGAACTCTGAAATTACTGATTTAAAAAATAATTTCACTTATGTAAAACTCTCTTATCTATTATTAAAATAGGCTAAATATATTATAATTCATTCAAACTCAGTCTCCAATTACGAATTACAACAAATGTTTAATTTTAACGTAAATTGGCTAATATTAAAATGAAAATAAAAAAACATAACAATAGGAAACCGTGCAAAAGGTGTCCTCTATTAAGATTTCGTAAATATGACATATATTGTATGTATTTATTGATTCGTAAACATAGTCGATATTAGATTGGACTATCCGAGCTATCAGGAATAAAATATTTTTGACGCTATATAATTGGGTCCTATTGAAAAATACGACTACTCGAGGGATTTCAAAAAGTTTCCCGCTGAAAACAAAAATACTAATCATAAAAGCTTTTACCCGTAACCTTGTAATAAGGCTATCCTGTGAAAAATAAATTATATCGAAGTGACAATTCTATAATTTAATTCGTTGACGGAGGGCGACCTTTTGAGGAAAACCACGTTCCTTACTTAGCATTCCCACCAGAATTTTATTTATGTGACATGGACGCTTTGTGATTTGATCTTTTTAAAAAAACCAAGACTTAAAAAGACTATATTAAACAGCGCACGTTGAGACTACATAATTCTCAATAATACATAAACGGCTCACGTTGTGAGGGAACACAATTCTCATAAAAGGCATTTTGGTCGGTCAAATCTGAAATATCTCTAGTATGTTTCGTTGAGAGCCATCGTTGGACTAGTTCACTCAATTGCATAGGCACTATCTCCATACATTTCCGGTACACGAAATTAAACAGTAACTCTACAATGGTCTTGGCTACCTCCTCATAAATATTCTATTGCAATCAGCCCAGACGAGCAACGGAAACTAAGATTACGAAAGCTTAATTTTTTTGGAATGCATGTTGTTAAACTACAAGTGGATAGAAAGGTTTTCTTTTTTTTTACGTTGTTGTTTTACATATTATTTTCTATTTAATTAATAAAAATTTTCTGTATTAGAGATAATAAGAAGTTGTGGCATAAAAGTTATGCATAATGCCAATTATGCATAACACATAGGATTGTAAATCTTAACGACTTAATTGAGGATACAATTCGCAAAGCTTACACACCAGTTTATTTAAATTATTTCTAACATTATTTCAGACTGTAGCGGGCGTTATGGTTTCATCATGTCTCATAAACGACGCACTATGTATTTATGCAGAAAGAGACATAAAGTAAAAGAAGTGATGCAAATATTGTATGTGGTGACATAAAACTAATAAATAAGTAAATATTTCAGGATATATTTTACACAACGTTGTCTTGTACCAAATTTAGTAATGCTTATACTTGTATGTTTATCAGTTACTTAGTATCCATATACTAGGTAACTTATAAACATATTTAAAGGAACTTCACTGCATCGCAAGAAAAACACTATTTTCATCACAAAATATTTTTCAAAATTTTAAGCATCATTTAACGTCCTAACAACCTAGGCACAAATTAGAGTAAATATTACTTTATTGTATTCATAACATTTGTTATAAACAATCTTTGCTTTTGTCTTGATTTAAAATGTGCTTTTTACCATAGTGTTGAATTTAAAAATAACGAAGTGAAAGAGTAGCGCAGTAATTGCAATAATAACCTACATTCTATTTCTAACAAAATATATGCATCTTTTTTCGCCCTTTCTCAGCTCCTAGGTAAAAAAAACAACAACATTAATTATGGCTGGTTCTAAGCGGCTTTTTGCGAATAGTGTGACAATTTATCATCTTAAACCGACCGGACTTAACTCTCCCTTGCAGTATCTGAGGCGATCACGTTCTTGTCACATTCCTTCTAAAGTACATTGGTTAAAGGATGGACATTTTTAATGCTACAATAATCGAAGAGATAACACAAGCAATTTTACGCTGACACATTATAAAATTGCCGTTAACTCTCTGCGGGGACATTTATTTGAATGAAATTCAAACCAAACGAGGATATTGATAATGAAAACCACATAAACGCCTACATAAATTTGAAGAGGTTTCGTTTCGGGTTTATGTGTAAATCAATACTAAATTGACTGTGTAAATGAGAATAATAACGCTTTTCGTATAAAATATTGGTTTATAAATAATATTTATATAATAATTTGCCTTTAGTTACTTTCAAATTAATTTGCTTGTTTTGTGTTTTTTTATTATTATTTAAAAACCGCCCAAGTGTAAATCGGACTTATGCTCGAAGGGTTCCGTACTTTTATCTATAAAAACAACCAAAATCATGTCAGTTGTATGAGCACCCCACATAAATATTTTTTATTCAGTTTTTTTCTGTTCAAAAGAAATACATTATCTGTGAAAATGTAAGCTGTCTATCACGTCTATCTATCACTAGCCAGCCCATTTGTGCAAGTTGCATAACGAATTTTAAATATCGTTGAACTGTGATTATGTATGATTATGTAAAGTTACAAAGTATTGTACATATAAACCTTCCTCTTCAATCAGTTTATCTAGTAAAAAAACCGCATCAAGATCCATTGCGTAGTTTTAAAGATCTAAGCATACATAGGGACAGACAGACAGCGGAACGACTTTGTTTTATACTATGAAGTAATTAAAAACGAGCACCCGGACAACGAACTATCACGGCTATATTAACTTTTTTGATGATAATATATTAGATAATATAGACAAACTCTTTAAAAATATTCTTGCACACTGATTTAGCAGCTGTCACTCATGTCAGCGCTTAGTTTTCCGTCTGCCTGCACAATCGACGTCGTCGACGGAGGGACGTTCGCTGAACGCCTGACCTTTTATCGAGGCAATTCATTCCATTTATAGCATTTTATCAGAGCAGTAGCTCTATTGAAATTACCACAGGGCCTATGATAGGGCGAGATATCAGAGATTGTGTTATATTACTTTATCAGACCTTCTGTCAATGGTATTTATTTCTCTTCTTTTCAATTCTCTTTGATATGATTAAAATATTCATACGAATCCAGTTGACCATCACTACAGATTTTCTCAGCTAAGCCTTTTATTTGTGCAGTTTACATCATTCTTTTGTAAAATTTAAAAGCATAGATAAAAAATAGAAGATAAAATCACTTGTCAACAGTTGTGGAAAAGTAGTATTTGTGGATGATAAAAATAAGGTTAACGTCGTTGACCTTTAATTATTTGATTATTATTTTCTATCTGTAAATTTTCATAATAAAACGCGTATATTATTTTTTTCGTATCGATTTGTCATTGAATTGCGCAATCATTCAAAACAACCATCGCGCGTCGGTAAGGTCAACGTAATAACTTTCGTGCCGTCAAACGTTAATTATTTTAATTGCCCAGTCAAATTACAGGGTTAAAGCATGCTAATAACAGTGACCTTGACAACATTTGACAATTAGAGACGTATGACTAGAAATATCAATGATCTACTATGGAATTTTTTATACGTTGATGTTTTTTTTATTAAGATTCATTATTTTTGAGTCAATCAAATTTCCATGAACTGCCGCTAATAATTTGAATAAGAATTTTCTATATAAATTATGATAACAAATTCCCAGCCTTAGACTGTTGACAGATATTATTAACATATTATTTAATTAATTATTTGGCTAACTTGTTTTACATGAATTTAATTAAAGTAATAAGTCAAAGCAAATATTTAAATGTTACAAAATGTGATTATAAAACGATGTAAAACAGCTGAATTCTAAAGGACTATCGGCCATTTTTATTTATCAAGGTTTTATGTTTCGCATTAATATTATAAAATTATTTGCACATCAAAGATTTTTTGAGAAACAACAGATTCTCTTCTCCAACTCAACTGGAATAACTATTCACGCTCTCGTGTTTCGGTCAGAGAAGGCAATTCGCCTACAATCTCTATTATTACGTCCGTGGTGCAGCGGTCCGCCAGACCTCCCTTAATTTCCATCTCTGAAATAGAAAAGACAGTCCGATCCATTGAAATATTCTAATGAGTAATGCAGTTAATGGTCACAGTGTAGTAAAGGCTATTTTATTCTATCTATATTTATAAATTGATGTGTGTATTCACGTTTCCTAGGGACTCAGGCTGAACTGATTTTGATGATATTTTTAGGATATCCCAGCGCATAATACTATTCAGTTTGATCGCGATATAACAAAATTTTTTTTTAATAATAATTTCTACCCGTGCGCAGCTGTAATGAATAGATTTGTTTTAACGCTGCGGGCGAAAATCTGTATACCATAAAATCAAGTATTATACCTATTCATATATACTATATGTTTTACACGGATGGGCAAAATCGTTAGCACTTAAATGTGTGAAGAGGAAGTAACTTTTTCATATCTCAACTTAGCGCTCTACCTAGCACCCTCATTATCCCAAAAAATTTACTCGCTTATCCAGAGCAAAAAGCATATTAAGGTAAGATAAAAATGGTAAGAACCCTGGCAACTTGACATAAAAACAAGAGGTGGCTATAATAATTATGTTGCAGATTTTACATTCAACTATTAAGAGGTTAAAAATGCGGGGGATTAGTGTGAGTCATATTTTGTACAGCGAAAATGCAAACCATCTTTATCGTTTGGCACCAAATAAAGTCTGTGGGGCCGACCCTTGACGTGAGTGTTAGTTATTTTTAGAAAACTTTAACGTACGTGATATAAGTTGTTTTTAATTCTTATTATGTATTGATGTGTATTTCTTATTTACTATGAAATAAGTATACATACATAATAAATTTGACTCATTTTTAAGTTCCATTGATTGTATCATTATAATTTATTGCAATACGTATAAATAATATTTAATATATTTACACAACAATCTCTAGTTTCAAAATAAGCAAAGCTTTTACTATGGGTACTTGATAACTGAAAAAATACAATTTATCTACAAAGGAAAAGTATTTTTACTTTTCCTTTGTGAATACATATTATACATATTTAAAACCCAGACCCTGTAAAAACACTTTGTTCATCAAATGATACTTTACCAGTAGTGGGGATCGAATCCCCACCATCTGACGCAAGAGGCAGGTTCACTAACCACTACACCAATCGGGTCGTCAATTAATAGTTTGTGTTGTATTCGATTTTATTTATAGATCCTATACATTTATTTTCGTAATCAATTTAATTCAGATAAATGAAATATATAAAAATATGATATGTAGAATGGAAAGTCAATCCACTCGAAACCTGCAATGTTTCGTTCGTACCGAACTGTTCACGTCTTCAATTCATTAATTGAAATTAAGGAGTAATTCCTTACTTCATCCTGTTGTAAGTATACAGGTGATTAATTTTTAAAGTAAAACTTCTTAACGCACGCTTGACTTGGAGAGTTAGCTGGTGAATGCGTAACGAGAGCGTTACGAAAAGTGTAATGTTACGCGAACGGTTATTTCTTGATTATTTCGTAATTTCATTTCGTTCTTGAACAATTTTAGAAGTTAATATTTTGATCAATACATTAAACATTCTACGTGTAAAGTGAATACAATTCTTAATTCATGTCGATAGAGATACAGATACTCGTACATATAGAAGAAGTTTTACTTAAGTCGTGTGGTGTAAAGCACACTAGTTTTTTTTTGTTCTTAATATTTGCTTTTCCCAACGTCTAGTTGGAGCGTTGCGCAATGCGAAACTGTAGTACTGTGCCGTTTCAATTTTGAGAGAAATCGATTCCATGTAGCAAATTCACATGCTGCAGTCAGCGAAGCGAGGATAATTCACTTGTCCACTCTGTCGCACACGTGTCTCATTTCCGTAAAGTCCCTCCGCCTACAGCTGTCGCCTGTCGGTAGTCCAGCGTATAGTAATTAGTGGGATCGTCATTTTGAGCATGCCCCATCAACAACCACCTCTTCTTTTGCAACCGTGCAAATTCGACTCAAACATATACGTCTGAGAATGAGAGTAATTAAGCATATAAGATACGGTGGTAGGGCCACGCAGCAGCCTCAGCTGTTGCACGAATGGGCGGCTCGTCCGGATGAGTACCACTACCTTACAGAAAACCGGCGTAAAATGGAAGTATAATACTTTCGCGATTCATCTGGTGAGTGAGGTGACCGGAGCCCAATTTTCAAAAGGTTGTCAACGCATCTGGAACCCTAGGGTGTAGCAGATGTCTATGGGCGGCGGTATTCACTTAACACCAGGTGAAACGTCTGCTCGCTTGACAACTTTTCACATAAAAAATATAAGATATATGGAGATTACATTTCAAAAATATGTGAAGTCCGCCAATCCGCATGGTCATGGGCTTTTTCCAGCAGTAGGACACATAAAGGCTCTTACTTTATGTTTACATTAAGCATGTAAGCTTGGATTCTGCAAAGGTTAATCGTAATTTCCAATGTAATTAAATTCAACTTGACATTGAATATGGGTGGAAGTACGTGTTGCATGAAATTAAATTATGAACTTTGTGAATACGAATCTCAGACTCCAGTAATTCAGTTGGATATTTCCTAGATTAAAAGCGGCGCGTTTTTTATAACGTTACATAAGACGAAGTTTGGAGCTGGTCAAGTTCTCATGGTGTTCAATCCCTCGAAATGCCAAGCTATACTTGTTTGTAGTTGCAAGTATGCTGACAAAATAGATTACTCCTTTGTACCTCCTAAAAGATACAATAATATAATACTTTCGTTTTAAAATAATGTGGTCTGCATATTGACAATACCTTGAACGGTAACCAAAATAAGTCACAAAGATACTACCACCTTTCACAGTCCGAAGAAAAAGAAAACATTTCCTGCCTTTTAAACCGAAACTTTTGCTCGTCCAAACGCTCATTTTACGCTTTATCGATTATGCAGATGTGTGAAACCCGGACGTATCCCAAGAAACAAACTGGACTAAACAAACTGGATCGCCTCCGTAACCATTTTATCACGTACATTTTCGGCTTACGAAAGTATGGCTACATATCGTCGTATAGGTTTTTAGCTTAATTAGCTTACTATTCGGCAAAGGCGGCATTCTTGTAATTTTTTTCCATCGTAATGATTGTTCCTTCTCACCTCAAAAACAAGTTATTGTATCTCTCCTCATCTCATGATAGGGAACTTCGGTCGTCTTATACGAATAAATTATGCATTCCAGCGCACTTCACCGGGTTTTCCGTTAACTCCTTAACTATCCAACCTATACATCTTTGGAACTCCTTGATAATTTAAGAAATGCAACAAGTAAGACATCTTTCAAAAGACTGGTTCGTGAACACTTGCTCAAGCCCACCTTGACTTAAAATATCGACCATAATTATAAGTAGAAACAAATTGTTATTTATTTGTATAAGTATACATCTTTATATATACTATATACATAAGTCTATATATTAAATATATCCAATTATAATAAATGCTTTTTAATAAATATTTCTTATTTTATTTCCTTCTTTATTCTCATTATTTCAAGTTTTATCGTCTCGTCCTTTACTGCACCTTCCATAAACTCTCACCATATTAGGGTTGGCTGTTAGAGAATGCCTGTGAGCATCAACTTTGTTACCTTGTTTTACTTAAGTTTGGCAATAAAAATTAAAAATATAAATAAGATATATTTTCAGAATAAAATACTCGAAACGAAACGAACCGAACGAAATGCACATCTTTATTTAATTGTTTACTTTTACAAAGAGTATTTAATAATTGTCTCATTTGAAAGTGAACATTTAATTTGAAGTATTTACTTCGATTATTTTATATTTTAAGTTAAGTCAAGATTCTATGTTGACTTATTGAGCTGGAGTTAACCACATATATGCTCAAACTTACATGAAAGTAAAGAGTAAAGTATCAGCCTATACATGTGTCACTGCTGGGCAAAGACCTCCTCTGTACAGAGGGTATCAGGGCGCATAGTCCACCACGCGGCCCCACTGCGGACTGGGGGACTACACACATCTTCGAAATATTTTTTTTTTATTATTATTTCGAAAATATGCAAGTTTCCTCACGATGTTTTCCTTCACCTTGAAATTAACAATTTCATTGGTGGGATCGGACTCTGGTTCAATGGATCGAGTATATTGAATTAAAGGCGAGCGCCCGTACACTGAGCTAACACGGCTTTCAAACTTATATGCGATGCTTTAAATTTTGCAGATCTAGGCAGTTCAAAAGTCGAATAACATTTTCTCTATTTGTAGAGACTGTTTCGAAAAGAAATGCGAAATGTTTGTCTCTACGTGAAAAGTACAGACAAACATTACTCATTTCTTTTTGTTAGCTATACTTTGTTTCATCGAGCTAAGAAGGTCGAAATATAAATACTTTTACCAAATCACCGTAGTTTCACTTTGCACAACAATAACACGGGTATAATTACTTATTTTATCACTTTAATATCACTAAAGAAACACTACTATAACGATTTAATTCATGATACCGATTGAGCTGCACTATGGCGTTTACTTCTTGATGACAGCCAGAGAAAGACGAAGACGACGAAGACGACGAAGACGACGAAGACGACGAAGACGACGAAGACGACGAAGACGACGAAGACGACGAAGACGACGAAGACGACGAAGACGACGAAGACGACGAAGACGACGAAGACGACGAAGACGACGAAGACGAAGAGACGAAGACGACGAGACGACGAAGACGACGAAGAGACGAAGAGACGACGAAGACGACGAAGACCACGAAGATCACGAAGACGACGAAGACGACGAAGACGACGAAGACCACGAAGATCACGAAGACGACGAAGACGACGAAGACGACGAAGACGACGAAGACGACGAAGACGACGAAGACCACGAAGATCACGAAGACGACGAAGACGACGAAGACGACGAAGACGACGAAGACGACGAAGACGACGAAGACCACGAAGATCACGAAGACGACGAAGACGACGAAGACGACGAAGACCACGAAGATCACGAAGACGACGAAGACGACGAAGACGACGAAGACGACGAAGACGACGAAGACGACGAAGACGACGAAGACGACGAAGACGACGAAGACCACGAAGATCACGAAGACGACGAAGACGACGAAGGCGGCGAAGGGGACGAAGGGGACGAAGGGGACGAAGGGGACGAAGGTGACGAAGGCGACGAAGGGGACGAAGGGGACGAAGGGGACGAAGGGGACGAAGGCGACGAAGGGGACGAAGGGGACGAAGGCGACGAAGACCATGAAATGCTTCGTGCAGCTGCATTTATACCTCATAAAATGACACTTCTTTTGGTGTTGCCAACGACCTCAAGGAAAGACTTCTTTTAATGTTGCCAACATTTTCTTCTTCTTCTTCTTTAGCATAACCGAAGAAACATAACTAAACATTTTATCCCAGTACTATTTATATGTGAAAAAAGACATGAAATATAACTGATAACGGTTTTAATTTAATAACTTAGAATCATTGGAAAATATCGAAAATTTCCATGAAGTTGGTGTCGCTTTAAGTTGTCACGCATCATAAAACTTCACTCTCATCAGTTTCCCCAAATGCTCATGCTAATACGTAATAAGTATGACTTCAATAAAATTACACCGTGAACACATTAGCTACCAAGGTTTAACAAAGGTTGTTTATGACACATGGTTTTGAAGTAGATAAGTTGTCATTGCTACTTTTCACGGGATGTAATATACAAGGTTCTTCCACATAAGAAACAATATGAAGACACTATCGTTTCCCTTACCTGTATACAGAAACAATAGACTGTGTGGGTGTTATTGAAGGTGAACTAAGCGAGTAGACAATACATGTCTCCGTGATATACACGTGGATGTTACTAGTTCCATCTTTTGTCCCTTCATTCGGTCTTAATAGAATTTATGGAAAAATACATTTTAAGAACGGAGCCCCATACCTTAACAACGGGTGTTTTTATTCATTTTTCGTAAACACCACAAAAAATTTAGCCAATTAGCAATTAATGTGAAAATAGATAAATATTTTGAAACAAAGAAAGTAAACACTGAGGACATAAATCGACAACAATATTTACTAAAATTATACTTTTCTTTGACTAAAGCTGGATAGAGCTACAAAAGTACTAGTTATAATCTTTTTACTATTTTTTTCATGTGAGAGGGTGTCAAGCGAGCTGGTGGTTCGCCTGATGTTAATTGATAACGGCATCCCATGGACATTTGCAACACTTGTAGGGTTAGAGATACGTTGTCACGTCATAATATAGTGGGCTCCGGTTCACCAGACGAAACAAAAAAATATAACCATTCCACTTCTCCGGTTGTGGGTGGTACTTCCCCTGACGGACCTGCCCATTCATACAACAGCGAAGAGAGCGTGACCCTACTGTTGTAGGGTTAGTTTAATAGTCACTAACTGTTGTTAGTGACTATTAAACTAAACTAGATATTTTCAGTAATATACAGAAAAATAAAATGTTCTTCTTCTTTTTTGGTACTGTTAATCTCGTATACGTATAAACAAGTCCACGATTATGGCTTTTATGATGTGTAAATTCGACAATTTAAAATGCATTGTAAACGTGAAAACGATAACTTATTAAGTTGAAACTCTATTAATAAATAAATAAAAAAGCAGTATTTTGTATGTAAAAACACAAATGTAAAGATCATAAAATAAATTTACACACCTCCGAATCAGATATACCGATCGCGTCGGATTACGGTCGTGAAGCTGGCCGTAACATCCACCAATTTTATCGAAAGGATATTCGTCTAATTCTTTTGGGGTTTCCGAGTAAATCACGATAGAACCGCTTCATAAATAATGTTAAAAATATCTATCTAACATAACAATAAAACCTTGTAACCCACAGGGGGTAGACTGAGAGAATAGTAGTATCAGGGCATCATCCACCACGCGGCCCACTGCGGATTGCCTAACTTCACATATGTTCGAAACATTTTTTGTTATTATTTCAAAAATATGCAGGTTCCCTCACGATGCTGTCCTTCGCGGCTAAGCACTTTATAATTCAGAACTTAAAATTAACAATTTCATTTTTGTCAGCACTGGGGACCGAACTCAGGTTGCTCGAATCGAATTAAAGCGAGCGCCATGAGCTATCTCGCCTTCAAGTCGCAGTATCAGCTAGTTATTTAATATTCTGTAAGCTTCGGGCAGTTTTCAAGTTCAAGGACGTCTCGTATGATATTTACAACTTCAAGTAATGAACAACTCTCAAGGTAATTTAATTCGATGCTTATCTAAATATGACCATTCCATGGGGAAATATATTCACATATTGTTATCGCTCTGTGGAAAATGTTCATTTAAAGTTCTATTAATACGCTAAACTAAGAACGATCGGCTATAACAGTATTTCAGAAGTTCTTCTCATAACTTTGTCAAAATTTAAACTTATTTATTTTTCATAAATATGATATTGATATTGGTTTATTAATTTGGACTAAACCATAGCGGTAAACACGATAAAAGTTTTCTCTTCTTTTCTATTAAATATGTCAGAAATTCAGGGTTTTTTGGCATTTAGCAAAAAAAGAGCCACCCTAGTTTTACAAAGTCGCGGACGTTTTTATTGCTTCTAACGTAATGAGAAAAGTTTTCGGAAACAGAATTAGATATATTCGGAATCCTAATACTTTAAGATGTCACCAATGGATCTTAGAGGATGTTTGATGTGACAAAATCTTTTACTGATTTTGTATTTCATGCTATTTTATTTTGGCATCTTGCATCAATGTCATTTAATTAAGACAGCATTAACTTTCAATCGATTTACCTAAACAAATAGTCGGAAATATTTTATTTCATTTGTCTCCTAAAGTCCTAATTGAGTATCTATCAATATATACGCAAATTTTGTGCAATAGTTTCTCTATATTTTAAGAAACAAACCCTGAACACGGTGAGTGATTAGAAATTAGGGACTGAGCTCCAGTTTTCACTTGAACCTCAAGTTAATGTGTGTGATAAGCTATCGCCATAATAAATAGTTGCAATATTATTCTTCGCTATTAAACACGCTATTAATTACGGGTTGCGCAGCGGATGATCTTAAAAAAAAACGATTTAATTTAAAATAATATTAAATGAAGGAGTACAAAAGTTATATGTTCCTAACTAAGTTCATTACTAATTACTTAAGATACTTACGCCCGGTTTCTGAAACACTGATCATCGTAGAAGTCAACTAATAAATTGTCAAATGGCTTTTCAAATGTTATTTGCCAAAAGGATTGTTAAACTCTCTGAATTGATCAGAATGATCTTCTAAATGATTAGAATGATCAATTCAAAGAGTTTAACAATGGTGTCAGGGTTGTACAATCGGTCCGAAGTTAGGATGACGAAACGGGCCGCGCTTTGTCGGTGATCGAATATATTGAAGGAAGCATCGGTCATTGCGCAATTGATGCATGTGCAGTACGATGGTGACTGGGGATGTAACACACTAAATAATATTACGAAAAGTAATACAAATAACACTGTGTACTCGAGGATAAAATTCTTTACAATAAATAACAGCGATGGAGATGAGTGAAGTAAATTAAACTGAATTGAGGACTGACAGGACTGAGGACCAAATTTCAGCTATATTGATTTAAGAGTGTTCCATAACGTTATCCTCATTCGTATTTATGTATATAAGTGTAAGTGTATCAAAGCAGGTTTAAATCTCTATTACAATTTCCTTTGTGCTTAAGTTGACCGTTTTCACACGCTTAAATTGATAAAATCATATATTCATGAAAAAGAACCATGCAATCAATTTATACCTTTATTTGCTTCGGCTTTTTTAAATAAACCATTTCAGGTCCCATTGAAACTTGGACTTTTGTATAAACTCTAATGATTGTACTCTAAAATCACATATCTGTGATGAAACCTAGTTCTGGTTCCTTCTTTTGTTCAATTTCTTTATAGCCACTTTATTGAGTAAGATTTATAATAAACAAAAATCATATTTTAGATAATTTTAAATAAACCACTCTTGTGACATCTGTTTGCGACATATTCAACAGCGCATCGTTAACTGCTGTAAGCCTCTAAACACTGCGGTTAACGGTAAAAAATATCTCTTAATTTTTTAAAATAGATCTGAAAAAACAAGAAAAAATAAAAAAACAAACAAGTACGACTTCCGTTGGCTTCCGATGTTGTGTAGAAAATATGTTCATTGATGGACGCCGTCCTTGGCTTTGAAGCGTATTGAAAACTGGAGCCTCCCGTCAGCGTAACCGTGGTAAGACACATCTAGGCCAAGCTGTCATCGAAAACAAAGGCTCTTTTCCAATTCAGTACCTACGTTTACAAAGTAAAAACAACTTCCATTATAATTTTAATTCCACATTGAAGTCCACGCTTTGCTAACTGTTCAAGCCATGATGAGTTGTCGAAAATTGTAACCATTGTAGACAAGCGTTACATTGAAAATGTTCATATGTTGGACCGAACTGTTTTCTTATTCACATAAAAGAAATAATAATTCGAATTCGTCTTTCAAGCTAAAAATTTAAAAAGTAGTGCACATTTTTACAAATTTCAAAATGAGACCTAACATCTCAAAAATCTACGACGTTAGGTGATCACTGCGTTGTAAGCAATATTTAGATTGTATAAAATGAATATAAAATTTATAAAATGAATATAGAATTTAAAAACAAGTTCTCGTGACAGTATACACTTCATTATTCTCTTGTTTCCCAATAACGTTGGCATGAAAAAATTTACCAACCAAGGCAAACGGAATCCTACCGTTAAAAATACAACAAAAGCCGAGCGCTGATATGAAAAGGATGTAAATTAAATGCGAGGGAGTTTTCTGACGTATTTTCGAATGAAATAAAAATCCGTACCCAACCGAAGCGATGGGGGAAAGCCGGCGTACATTTAAGTGAAAGAACAAATGATTTTAAGCAGCCTTTCCGCTCAAGAAATGTGCTCGCATAATGGATACCAATTCTTTCCTATTCAGAGAGAAATCGTTTTGCATCTTTAATCTCTCTATCTAGCAGGTTGGTGCCGACAATTAACTTCTAAATACAACATCCTTAAAATATATTGAATGTAACAACCAGTTGTTACTCATTATGGCGTTTATTATTAAAATTTCGGAATCATCGAAAAGATTTATCAGGGATATTATTTTATTGCGCTACCGGAAGATTCCTGGTTTTCACCTGTCTTTTACAACTTGCCGACAGTTTACTTAAAAATGTTGTGTGGTCAGCAAATTCGGTGATCTCCTGCCGGAATCAGAAGCCAAGTTC